CAACCCATACCAAAGGCTATGGTCTTTGATCTTCATCAGTAAGTAAGTCCTCTTTACTTTCAGCAACTATTTTTATTCATAATCTGTTATAATAATTTAGAGCACAATAATTAAATGGACAGGTTGTAGTAAAACCACGTCTCTAAAAGACAGTGTCTGTTTGTCCAAAGCTTACCATTCATGAAGGACTGAGGTGCACCTGACCAAAGCCAAGGTATTTTCAGCTGTCTCACAGAATTGTAAAATTTATAAAAATGAATAAGGAAGACCACAGAAGAATCAATATATTTCAACTATGGTGTTGGAGAAGAATACTAAAATTACCATGGACTGCCCGAAGAATAAATAAAGTGAGCATCTACTATGCATCTCACTGTTAGGCATTGGGGTTACGGTTGTGAACAGACCAAAGTCCCCACCATCTCACAAGAAGTTTCCTTTCTAGAAAAAAAGACTATAAGGTAATCATACAAATAATTCCCATAAACAGGGAATGTACAACAATCTTGGAAATTAAGCCTCTTTTGGAGGAAAACAGCTAATCTTTATATCTGACATGGGCCACCAGAGTCTGCTATTAGCATCACCAGGACTTGAAAGAACAAACTCCAGAAAATATCTGGTATGGCCACAAAACTCTTGGCATGTTGTAAAGAGCCTTGATGAAACAGAAACATATTCACACTGTGCGTTTCAATGTCATTGTCTCAAGGTGAATTACTATGTAGTTATCAAAATTTCTCTCTCCAGATTTTGAAAATATTAAGTGAAAAATACCTGGACCTCAAGTATTCAGAAATATGGGTATATACATAAATGTAACCCAGAAAAAAAAACACCAAGGGGCTTTATGAAAATGCTCACATTCTTTGGTTGATGAGTCATTTCCTTCCTCACACGTCTTGTATTTTCCACAAAATAAGCATGCTATTATTTATATAAGCACAAAAAATGTTACAACCTTTTTTCCAACCACAACTAAAATGTCCTGTTTTTTGACCAAAGGAAAATATATCCTCACAACCAAAAGGAAATGGACTGGTAACTCCAAGAAGTGATGGCCTGTTTCCGAAAGATTTCGCTCTCAGGTTTTCTTTCCTTTCTTCACTATTAAAACAATACGTACTCAGTGTTCAGAAAATACAAGCAAGCAAAAAGAGGGAAATAAAAACCACCCGTAATCTCACTGTATAGAAATAACTGATTATACTTTTCAGTCTTCTTTAAATATAAATAATAAATTTCAGTCTTTTTAATCCAGATGTTTATATTTGAAAAAAAAAAAACCCACAGGCTCATAGTTTTCCAATTAATGACATAGCTTTAATAGTTGCCTAATTTTATAGTACTGACATTCCATAGTTTAATCCTCACACTGACTTTTTCTAATTTTTCAGAGTTACAAGCAATGTTATCATGAACATCTCTGAAGTTAAATCTCTGTCCAAGTCCCATGATTACATCTTTTAGGCTTTTAATACATATTACTAAATTGCCCTTCAGAAAGATAGTACCAATTTACACTGATAATTATTTTATTTTATTGATTTATTTTTTCTGATCATAAGAGATCATTAAGAAGGTAGAAAAGAATGAAAAGACCAAAATGATATCAGAAGAGACTCTAAAACTTGCTTTTGAACACAGAGAAGTTAAGCAACTGGAAATGCCGAAGTAAAAGTGCTGAACAGAAAATTTCACAGGTCAGCTCAAGAAGACAAAGTCAAGTATTATAATGAAATGTGCAAAGATCTGGAATTAGAAAACCAAAAGGAAAGGACATGCTCAGCATTTCTCAAGCTGAAAAAACTGAAGGAAAAACTCCAGTCTGGGCTTGTGATATTGAAGGGTGTGGTGTTGTGGGAGAAAGCACTGGACCGCAAGGTTGGTTTGAAACACAAGGTTAGTGGTTCAAACTCACCAGCTGCTCCTTGGAAACCTTATACAGGGTCATTATGAGTTGGAACCAACTCAATGGCACTTAACAACAACATTCTACTTATTCAATCTGTATGCTGAGCAAATAATCTGAGACGCTACATTATATGAAGAATGCTGCCTCAGGAGTGGAAGACTCTTTAACCTGCAATATGCACATGACAAAATCTTACATGCTGGAAGCAAAGAGGCTTGAAATAGTTACTGAGGAAAATCAAAGGCCACAGCCTTCAGTATGGATTGCACCTCAATGTACAGGAAATGAAAATCCTCACAACTGGGCCAATAAATAGCAGGGTAAATGGAAAAAAGATTGAATTTGTCAAAGACTTCAATCAACACTTGGATTCACAATCAACACTCATGGAAGCAGCAGTCAGGCAAGCAAATGATTAGGGAACTCTACTGCAAAAGATCTCTTAAAAATGTTAGAGAGCAAAACTGTCAGTTTGAGGACTGTAGTGCCCCTGACCCAAGCCAAGGCATTTTCAGCCATCTCATAGAATTGTAAAATTTGTACAATGAATAAGGAAGACCACAGAAGAATCAGTATATTTCAACCATGGTCTTGGAGAAGAATACTGACAGTACCATGGCCTGCCAGAAGAATAAACAAATCTGTCTTGGAAAAAGTACAGCCAGAATGCTCCTTAGAAACAAGGGTGGTGACACTTCATCTCATACTTTGGACATGTTGTCCAGAGGAATCAGTCCCTGGAAAAGGACATCATGCTTAGTAAACTGGAGGATCCGAGAAAAAGAGGAAACGAAAAAGAGGAAGACCCCTAATGAGATGGATTGAAATAGTGGTGGCAACAACCGTCTCAAACAACAATGGTGAGGGTGGCACAGGTCTGGGCAGTGTTCCGTTCTGTTATGCACAGGGTCTCCATGAGTTGGGACCAACCTGACAGTACCTAACAACAATATGATGCAATGGGTAAATGGGTAAACGCTTTTTTTTTTTTTTTTTTTTTTAAATTTAAGATTTGTGGATTCAGTGAACGTTTACAGGGCATATCATCAGTTTTACATCCAACAAATCATATACTTTGTTTCTATTACATTGATTATAATCCACACCACGTACCATCAGTTAACAGTATTTCTCTCTGTCCACTTTAGCTTTTTTAAAAAAACACACACAAACAAAAAAACACCACTCAAGCATATATAATAATTTATATCTCCAAAGGGCACATTCTGTAAATTGGCTCCTGGCCACCAGCTCTTAGTCTTTCTCTTCTTAATAAGCTCTTTTTTAACAGAAAGGTCGATGGTTCCAACCCACTAGCTCCTCTGCCAGAGAACAGACCTGGCAATTTGTTCTTATAATGATTCCAGCCTGGGAAACACTACGGGGAAGCTCTGCTCTGTCACATGGGGTCACTATGAGTCCTAATCAGCACGCAACAACAACATAGTATTTCCAAGTATATACTGGTATACCTAATGAAAAATGGTGTGTGCTGTTTTCACTGATATTTTTCATTTGTTGGTAGATCCACTTGTTGTTTGGTACTTTTTTGTTTTGTTTTTAAAGAATTATACATTACTTCTCCATGTTAAGCCTCTCAATTGTATGCTGCAAAGATTTTACCCAGTGTATCATTCATTTTTTAATTTTCTAATACCATTACCTTATTTTCTCCATGGTATTATTTTTGGGTATATACAAGTTTTCTGATAAAAAATCTTTTTGGAATCAGACTTGTTAATGCTTTCCTTTAAAGTTTCTCCCATTGATGGTCCCCTTAATGGTATGTAGCATTCACTAATATTTTTCCTAGTTATTTCGTTACTTGTTTTTTCACATTCCATCTTTCATCTACCTGGGCTTATTTTAGTTCAGGTATGAAGTGGACATCGGACGCTATTCCTCCTAAAGGTCACAGTTGAAAGCTCTCTCACCTGAGCCTCGTATTTCACCGCCACCGACAGCAGGGCAATGGCGTTCTCCTCACAGATGCCTTGCTTGATAGTTTGTTGGCAGAGCTTTTTCAAACGATTTTCTCTATAAAATGTAGCCAAATCGAGTAATCCTGGTGAAAAGAAGGATTTATTCATTCGGGGAAGTAATTCCAAGCATCCTGTTTAAACTCAATCAATCATTCAGAGATGGTTTTTAACATAATTCTTAGTGAGGGACTATGTAAGTGGAGTAAAGATTTACGCTAACTTACACTTTTGAGTGCTCAGTTCTGCCCCAGAACACAGCAAAACTGAGCTAACAGAATCTACACACAGCTGACTGTGGAAAAATGGGGAGCACAGTAAAAATGGCTTAGATATTTTTCTTAGAAAATGATTTTAAAAAGTTGTTCCTCATCTGGATTTTCAGTCTGTTCTCATATGGGTCACTTCCATCCGCATATACACATGAGGTAATAGTATCCAAGTATGCACAAAAGAAAGGAGAAAAAAACTCTAAAACTCTTCATGACCACGTCTGCCTCCTGTTACATGCACACACACACACCCCACCCCACCTCCCAAATCAGCTGCTGTGAGGTTGCTTCCCACTCATGGTGAGCCCATGTGTGACAGGGTAGAACTGTGCTCCACAGGATTTTCAGGGGCTTAGTTTTCAGAAGTAGATCACCAAGCCTTTCTTCTGAGGTGCCTCGTGTTGGTGCTATCAAATCGGTTTCGCCTCATAGTGACACTGTATAGGTTTTCCAAGGAGCAGCTGGTGAGTCTGTACCAGTGCTTATCCTACAGCACCACACCAGTACTCTCTCTGGGTGGGCACAAACCGCCAGCCTCTTGGTTAGCAGATAGGCATGATAACTCTGAACCACAGGGATGATAATTACATGAGAACAGCGCCCACTCCAAAGTCATAACAAAGTCATGACATTCCATCTGTCTCGTACTTTATCTACCAGTCAGTCTTTGAATGAAGTAGAAACAGTGAAGAGTTTGGGTTTAACACACAGAACAAGGACTTCTCCCCGGGTGATTTTCACGGAGACCTTCTGTTAGACTTTGCAGAAACCAGCTTGTCAGTGTCTCAACACTTTATCCACTCCTTGGTGAGGGAGGAGTTATGGTCATTACCTATAGCCTCCTCAGGAGAGAGGCTGATGCTATCTGTGTACAGGTATTCCAGGAAGGCTCGGTAAACAGGGTATGGAAATTCACTCATTTCTACAATCTTCTCCTCACTGTCTCCTAGCGAAGTACGAAAATGCTCACACCTTCAGGAAGAAAGAGGCATGTCAAGTCCTAGAGTCTGAAAGGAGCCAACGGCCTTCCTCAGAGGGCTTTAAAAAAAGGGGGAGCGGGGGGTGGGGGGGGCAGGCAACAAACAAACAAAACCTAAGAACTAGGGGAAAGGAAACACACTAGCGCCACTCATGAGTCTTGTAAAGTTGTACTTTCAGTTCTTCACTCTGGAAACAATCATTTATTCACAAAGTCTACAAATGCAGCCTGGAGATAGGGCCGATTCCCTGGGCACTGTCCCCAAACCACAGCCATCTGCATTTGTACAAACCAAGAGGATTTCTTTTTTATAAAATGTGAGTAATTTTGTTTTTTCACTCCTCTTTCTGTCCTGTAATAACAAAGAGCAAATGTTGTACCACCAGACCTCACAAACAGGAACCTGAGACTAAAATGCATATTCAGTTTGTGATTCATTGATTTAGGATTCAAATATCTGTGAGACATGATGTGAATGAATTTCAAACTCACTGTGTTGAGTGATAAGAAGATAGACACAAAATACAAGCTGTCTGATTCCATTCATATGAAATTCTGGAAAATGCTAACTAATCAACCGTGACAGAAGCAGGTCAGGCTGAGGGGTGGACGGAAGGCTGGACAACAAAAGGGCAGGATTTCTGAGAGCTGATGGAAATGTTGGTTTTGGTTTTACAGGATGAACGTCTGTTAAAGCTCATCAAACGGCACACTTTCAATGGATGCTGTTGTTTGCAGCATCACTAAATTTGATTTTTTTTTTTTTTTTTTGAATCTCAGCATTAGCTTCACCTCAGACCTTATTGGTTTGGCGAAACCATGAGGTTTTGTTCTTTTCTTTTCTTTTTAAAGCAGGTATAAGTTCTGTATCTTACAACTGATGAAGACTAGTGACTATCATGGGTTAAGATCAGCTCCTAGTTAGGAGAGTGCCATATGTCACAAAATTTAATACAGTGTTCAAAATACAAAGCATGCCCACTAAATGTGAGCTTCCTGCTCGCCAATGCCAGAGGGGACTCTTGCTACAAGCTGATAGTAGTTTCTGGTTTCATATGTAATGTGCTTCCCCTAGCTGTGTTGTTATGTGTGCAAGGGCAAAACCAGAGCTTAATGTTCAGTTTTTTTCATAGTTACTGAATTGCCTACCACTGTTTCCTGGACACTTGGGCAAACAATCCCTGAATCAAGGGATTTCTCTCAATTCTCAAAAAGCAATACATTCCTTACCTAATTTTGAGAAGGACTTTATGTGCATAGATATACTTTCCATCTACTAAAAATGTCAGGTCGGCAGTGTCGGGGTTGTCAAATTCCCTTTTCAGTGACTCAGCCACTGTGAGGTGGTCATCTGGCTCTAAAAGAATGACAGAACAAAGTGTCAACCAGATCACAACAGGGCTCTGCTGCCACTTGTGAAAATGCTAACTCCCTGTCATAAGCGTAACAATAATAAGTATATAGTAGTGCTTTCTTTCCTAAATACATTCGCATTTCTGTAATCAGTAAAGACAATAACCTCATACACATCTGGCAAAATAACATCCAAACATCCCAAATTACCTCACAAAAAGAAATCCTTTTACTTGAGCAAATATATCAGCAAAAATAAAATACAGTTTCCTAGTAAGGTTAAAAAGTAGGCTTACAGGGTATATATACCTTTTGGTTGCTTGATGATGCATGGAGGGAATTGTAACCATGGCAATGAAATGATATACGATAGGATGAATGTAAAACTAATGTTCTCCCATAATTCACTATAAAACATTAAATAAATAAATAAATAAATAAAATGACTTAATTTGTGTTTTGATACTTTAAAGAAAGCTGTTATTAAGTGCCATAGAATTGTTTCCAACTCATAGTGACCCAATATAGGGAGTCTGAAGAGTGGCTGGTGGGTTTGAACCACTGACATTGTGTTCATACCATCAGCTTACCCACAGAGAGGAGGCGCCACGTGACGGCGGGCGTGGCAAAACAGGCGAAGACATCGTCTGTGCAGGAGAAGTGGGTGAGGTGAGGCAGAGTGACCGACTGGCCACGACACTGGCCCCACATGTAAACGTTACCGCCCTGGGTCTTGGCAGCGGAGGTGTGGGCAGAGTGGCAGGCTGCAATCTCGATAATTCTAAATAAATTCACAAGCAAACAACAAATCAACATAGGATACATTGATTTCTCTTTTCCCTACTTGTAACTGACTAGGGGCATAAGAAATGGAATTTACACTGAAATTTACATCTAATCTGTAGTTTACATTTAAACCCACTACAATGGCCTATAAAGTATACATCATTCCATTTTCGAATTAAAGTATAATCAAAAGACTAGAGATAGAACAAACAAAATAAAATCAGCCAACTACCATTACCACCGACAAAAAAAGGCTATTTCATTTTCTTTGCCAAAGACATTACTTATTAAAGTAGAAAATAAAAACTTGGGCCATCTTGACACAGGACCAATAAATAAAAGTCTTAATCAGAACGAGAGCATCGTGCTGTGAGTCATACCAGCTCAAGCTGCACACAGGGAGCTCTGTAGTTCTACACACGGCCTGATAACATCCGAAATCCACTAGAGTTTTTATCACATGGTGGTCCCAGAACACATCGATATTGCAGTTCCAACCAACCTTGCAGTCCAGTGCATTAACTCACAGCACCATGCCAGTAGTTCCCAGAACACCTTCTAAGGGAGAACACTGAGTTGTTGCTTTGGGAAATAGTAACTTTTCTATGAGAATAAGCCCTATACAGATCCAAAGAAGATAGCCCACTCTATTTTCTCCCAGGTAAGGTCTCCCTCTTGATTTACCACCGTGAGAAACAATACCAGAACCTCAGTGTCAGACTAAGAACTTCAGAGTCGTCTTTAATGTCTACTTTCCTTCTGTACATACCAATTTTTTCTAAATGTTGTTAAGTGTCATTGAGTCAGTTCTGACGCATAGCAATCCTGTGTAGAGTTTCCAAGGAACAGCTAGTGGGATTGAACCACCTACCTGTGGTTAGCATTCTAGTGTTTATCCTACAGCACCACACCAGGACTCCTTGTATTTATATAAAGTCATTAAAAACATTATTTTCAGTATACCTATCTGCCACCACCTTACGCCAGGCAGACCCCACTGAAAAAGCCAACTGGGCCTCCCTGCCTTAGACTTTCTCTGTCCTTTGACAGGTTCATTATCTTCCGGAAACACTCTTCAGTGCTTTCACACTTCCAGCGGCTTCCCACAAGAAAAAATCCAGGCACCCCACATCCCAAGGCTCTCTATAATTTTGGCTTCTCAATCTCCAGCCTTCTCTCAAATCACGTTTGTTCACACACCCTGCGTTCCAACTAACACAGGTACTCACTGCCCTCAATGGCTTTATTCAGGTCATCTCTCTAGTCAGGGATGCTTTTTCCCTGTTCTCTGTCTCACACATCTGACCCATGTTTAAAGCCCAGTGCACCCAGCCCCAAGGTCAAAGGTCTCTTGATCACCTGAGCTCTTGCAGCACTCCGTCTGCTTCTCTCCAGCCTGACCCCAGGACCTCTTCAAGGGAATAGATCTTACTGTTCAGCTAGACTACAAGTTCATGGCAGGCAGAATCACTGGCTTATTTCTCTTTCCCTATACAGCTAGCATGATATCTCATGAAACACAGATTTGCAGCTTATTTTGGTGACTAAATTTGGGGAAGAATGAACAAAATAGAGCAACTGAGGAGTGAATAAGATCCCACTGACCAAGGGAAAACAACTGTTAGGGCAGAGCTCGTTCTCCAGAGCCTCCATTAATTAGATGAGGAAGGTGATTATCAAACACTAGAGATGACTGTTCATTTGTCTCTTTCTCTCATAGGTAGCCCTGGTAATTTCGCTGACTTATCACAAGGCAGTGTTCAGCCATTGAAACCCACCAGAGAGCACTGGAGGGAAGATCTCTGATGTACCATAATGGAACGCAAGGGCTTTGGAGTCAGCCAGACCTAGCTCTGAATCTTAGCTCTATCAGGAGGACATATGACCATGGGAAGGTTACTTAGCCTATCTATGCCTCAGTTTCATAAGGCTATTGTGTGAGAATTACATGATCAAATGATTGTCAATACAGTATCTTATGTATGAACAGTAGGAGTTCTGGTTGTTAAATGCAGCCAAGTCAGTTCCAACTCAGAACGACCCTGTATAGGGTTTCCAAGGAGTGGCTTATTTGTTTGAACCACCAACCTTGTGCTTACCCTACAGTACCACAACAAATAGGGAGTAGGAGTTCTTTTGTGTTACTGATTGGTTGTGGTAATAATAGGGCCATTTATTGTGGTGGTAGTTGTTGTTGTTAAGTGCCATCAAGTTGGTTCTGACCCATAGCAACCCTGAACAGGGTTTCTGAGGCTGTAAATCTTTACGGGAGTAGAAAGCCTCATCTTTCTCCCACGGAGCAGCTGGTAGTTTTGAACTGCTAACCTTGCGGTTCGCAGCCCGATTCGTAACCACTACGCTACCAGAGCTCCTTGTTGTGGTTAGCTGCCCTTAAGTCAGCTCCCAACTCATGGCAACCTTTAGCACAGCAGGATCAAACAGCTATTGGGAATTGAACCCACATCCTCAGGTGGAAAGCAAGAATTCTACTATGGTGTAGTGTAGTGTCTCTTCTGGTCACAGTCTGTAACTCCCAGCAAACAACGTTTCTGCCTTGCTGGGGCAGGGTAAGAGAAGGTGGGAAAAGATACTGATAGGCTGACAGAATTCATTTGTGGACATTAGCCAAGTTAACTGTAATGGTAAAAACTTGAAACTCTAGCATAGGTTAAAAAAATCTATGGTGACTTCTGGTTTGGCAGCAGCAGAGCAGAGACAGATAGGATAGGCTCCGTGGGGAGGGGCTGAAAACCCAGAGACGCAGCTCCCAGGAAACTGCACCAGAGCTCTAGATCTAGTATAAGAGCCAGGGTGTCACTTTCCTGCAACCACCAGTAGCAAAATCACAGTATAAAGGAAAACATTGCAATTTAGAAATCGGTCAAGACACTGGACTCTATCTGCTGCCATCCTGCCCAGGCAGAAGTCAGAGGGTGGGGCTATAGCCAGACCAGCACAGGGAACCAATTTGCAAAAGGAGGTGTGGGGGGATTCTACATGGATTTTTTTTCCTCCTTTTCCCTGTCGTGGTGCAGTCTTTGCCCAGCCCAGACACCTTCAGGCGGGTGGGTGTGCACCCCCAAAAAAAGTCCAACATTGAGACCACAGCTTTCCCATGGCACAGAGAACACAAAGAGCCCCATGGTCCAAGGGCAAATTCTTCGACTGCTGCTTTTGACTTCTGCCTGTGGGTCCCAGCCTAAAGTTAACTTGTGTGGGATCATTGCCTACCCAGCAAGAAAACAAGCAGGTTTGCCCTGACACACAAATCGAGAATCCAGAAATTAACCCATCCACATACAGCCAACTGATTTTCGACAAAGTGCCTGTTTATATTGCATGGGGAGGAGACAGTCTCTCTAACAGATGGTGCCGGCAGAACTGGAAAGCGATATGCAAAAGACTGAAACGAGACCTTTACTTCATGCCCTATACAAAATCAAACTCAGCATGGATTAAAGGCCTAAATGTGAATCCCAAAATTATGAAGGTCATCAATGAAAAAATAGGGACAAATGTGAAGGCTATAATTCAGGGCATACACAGACTACTAAACATTTTGAAAATCATACAAAAGTAGACAAAATAGGTGACTGGGACATACTAAAAATTAAAAACTTATGTGCATCAAAGACCACCAAAAGAGTAAAAAGGGAAACCACAGAATGGGAAAAAATCTTTTGCAACGACACATCAGATAAGGGACTCATTTCTCAAATACATAGGAAATTATAACACCTCTACAAGAAAAAGACAAATAAACCAATTAAAAAATGGGCACAGGACACGAACAGACACTTCACCAAGGAGGAGATCTGGGCAGCCAACAAATATATGAAGAAATGCTCACGATCACTAGCCATTAGAGAGATGCAAAGCAAAACAACAATGAGATATCACCTCACACCAGCAGTAACAGCAAAGATGAAAAAAGTAGACGACGATAAATGCTGGTGGGGATGCGGAGACCCTGGGACCCTCCTACATTGTTGGTGGGATTGCAAAATGGTCCAACCACTCTGGAAAGCAATATGGTGCTTCCTCAGAAGGTTGCAAATAGAAATACCTTATGATCCAGCAATTCCTCTACTTGGTATTTACCCACAAGAAATACGAGCCATAACACAAATAGATATATGCAAACCAATGTTCATAGCACTATTTATAATAGCAAAAAGATGGAGACAGCCTAAAGGCCCATCAATTGAACAATGGATAAACAAACGGTAGTACATACACACAATGGAATACTATGCTACCTTGAAGAACAACAAGGAAGCTGCAAGCCACTGAATAACATGGATGAACCTTGAGGACATTATGCTGAGTGAAATTAGTCACAAAAGGAGAAAACCTTCATAAGACCATTATTGTAAAAGACTAAGAAAAAGAACCCACCTAAAAGGGGAAAAAACACAAAAAACTATATATAATTGCTGATCACTGGGATGTATGGGATGAGAGGAGGGGAGGGAAGGAGGGAAACATAGAGCACAGGGTAGGGAATAGACACATGAAAGCTTGGGGGCTGGGGTGGAGGGGCAATACACAAGAAGGGGGAGGGAAATAGAAGATGTATGCACAACCTTGGAATAACAGGGCTTTGGGAAACAGGGATTGAGACATGGTTTGAAAAGGTAAAAGAGGGGAATAATGTTAAGATGCTTGGCTATCTTTTGAATTTTGGTTTCCTTTGCCTACCATTGCAAAATAGACCCTTGTGGGGTGGGGAGAGGAATAGCCAGAAACATCACAATAGAAAGATTGTAAGCCCATCTTCAGCCTATACCTGATTGGAATACCTTAAAGGGGACTAGAAATTGCCCAGTGAAAGAGACCTCCTGTGTGGAGCTTTTGCATTGCATAAGAGCATAGGCAGAAACCAGAATCCCATCCAGAATTGTCTGAGGTGGGAAATTTCCACTGGAAAGGATGAGTAGATCAGCCTGGAGTGGCTAGAAGTACAGAAGATACTTCGTGAAGAAAGACCAGTAG